CACCTCTGCCTTCCACTTTGGGGATAAAAGGCGTCATGTTATGTATGTATGTAAACTAGAAGTATAAAGGATAATGTCTAATAATAGTCTTGTTTCAAAAGGTATTTAATTAATTATTATAAACGGGTTCAGAAATTTTAATGTCGACCTTTGTAATTATTTAATCATGCTTCTTACATCCCCAAGGGGTTGGCGAAGGCACAATTATCCATGTGTAACGTGAGATATGTGATACAATACCTTTTGTGCCCTCAAGGGGAGTAGGCAGTGGTTGAAACTACAGTAGAATCCATTTATTATGACTCTGCCTATATTAACCAACCGGTTATTATGACGTAATTACACTATGAAGTTTGGTTTTTACATAAAATCTATATAAGTATATAATCCCTTGGTCATGGCATCACGCGTGAATGCCTGGACCAATTTCACTAATTCTGTTTTTGTTGTATTTGTTATTATTAGGTTCTTAAGACAGAAAAAATCCTGAAAATCCTACGGGAAAGGGAGAAAATGGGATTGCGTACCACAGAGAGGTTCTTCCTCATGAGCAACGTGCGCAGTCGCGGCGATGTCGCGCAGCCTAGCCAAGTAGGCTCGAAACTAGTAGAGCTTTTCTCAGTATATTCACGTGAGTAACCCGCGAGTTTTAGTTAATTTAGTATGTCTCACGATAGTTATTATAAAAACAATGTATAAATGTGTTTTATTCTACCGTAAATTGTAAATCATATAAATCCTTGCAGATGTTAGGTACACTTTTCCAATTCTTAGGCATGCTACGCCGTAGTAGCGTAGCACACGTAGCTGCTCCGATGTAGCACTGTAGCCATTTAGCCAACGACTGTTTCGGAGTAATACGCGAACATACAATATTTCAGCGATAAAATTCTACAACATAACATCACGACTTTTATCCCTGAAGGGGTAGGCAGAAATGTACATTATGGCTCCTAATGCCGCTGTACAATGTGACACCTACTTTTTCACTATTTATGTTATGAGTCTCATGTAATAGGAGTCGAGCCTATTGCCATATACCGGGCACGGGCATATTTCCAAACTCCGTGCCACTATTGATATTTTTTAAAAACCCAGTAGTACTTTGCCCGACCCGGGAATCGAACCCGAGACCCCTTGTCCAGCAGTCGCACTTGCGACCAATCGGCTAATGAGGCAGTTAATTATTTTAAAAATTCTATTTGTTTCAATAATTCATAATTAATTAAAGTGTATTGTAAATCAATTCAAACAAAAAACATTCAATTATAGAATGAACTCAATCACAATCCAAACAATTGTTTTGTAAGAGAATCCATTAGTTAGTGAACCAACTTTGTTTGTTTATAAACTACGCTAACTACCGGTTACTATCGGGCTACTAAACCGTTAAGCTCACGGTTACCGATCGCTGTGACGTCACTAATAGCTTAGGATGGATTACTGAACGCTTGCAGTAGGATCGATGTGTTTATTGTTTTGTATTCTGTTTTTAGGGCTGGTACACAAAACTGGGATGTGCCATCGCATCGCAAAAATGTGCAAGCCCCCTTAAGCAGCACCAGAATTTGAGAGTTGATTCGCATCAAATTCTTATCTTCTCAAAATCTTCTTTGTTTCTTTTTTCTATATCTCCTAAGCAATAACAGAAGTGCACACTTCTTTTTTCGATCCATATCACGACCTAGATTTCAATTTAAAATACGTTTAGTACGGTTGACGGTCGTCGAAGGAATGGTCACCCTGGGAGACGCCTTGTCGCACGAAATTGCATCGCAGCAATTCGCATCGTAATTTTCTGCGTTGCGTAATTCGCATCGCATCGCAGTTTTGTGTACAAGCCCTAATTCAATGTTAAACAGAAACTTATTTCCAATAACATTTAAGCTAATATTTATTGGTTAACCAAAATAAATATTGGTGTTGAACAATATTGATTGTAAAGATCTAGTGACGTCACAGGAAGATTTTTGTGCTTCCCCAAGCATTGAGGTACGGTCCTTGGGATATAAAATTATACATACACACATACATGCATATATACACACATTGTAATGTGTGTAGAAACGATATAACATTCATAAAGTTAAACATAATATACGGAATTGCCTTTATAAAATAAATATTGTATGATATCTCGCATTTGTTATATGTGTTTATGTATGTATATTAAAATAATCATATTGTTTTCTGTTGTATAATGTTAAGTATATCTGTCTATAGAAATAAAATGTGCTACTATAAGAATTATATTTAGAACTCCTCTCGCCTACGATTTAGGATTGTCCTAGTGCAGGCATTTAACATTGTAAGTACAATGGGGTAGACGACTAATTTTTATTTTAATGTCCGTCTGGTAGATTATTTAAAAACATTAGACACGTATTTTTTATTTTCTCACAGAAACGAATAGTTTCGAAGATATATTGATTTGAAATGTCGCGTGACGTCACTTCTCAGTACATTTTATACTAAGAAATGACGTTTTAGCCCCCACTCCTAAACTTTGATTCGTTTTATCTAAGTATTGTTTTATTATACGACAAAATAAAAAAATACGTGTCTAATATTTTTTCATTACCTAACTTACGGACTAATTATATTTTTAATTTTCATACCCTGTCATCATCCCCATTATATTTAGAACTCCTCTCGCCTGCGATATAGGATTGTCCTAGTGCAGGCATTTAACATTGTAAGTAGGTACAATTAGCTAGTTTCCTAGGTTTAAAATAAATACTTTCAACTATTCAATGCAATAAATAATTAAAAAATAATCATACTCTCATCCATTGATTAGACAATTTACCTACTTTTGGTTTTTTCTCGCTAATTTTAAGGAAATAAGTATGCTGTTTGACGCAGAAATATGATGACGTCATAAGTAGCGATCCAATACAAAATTCATAGAAAAGTATCGTTTTTGACATTTCAATAAAAGTATTGAATCTGACTACCTGTCAACTATCGTCTTGTACGTATTCACGATAATATATTTTTGTAAATCGCATTTTAAATTATGAATAAAGTTTATTTATTTATTTTACTTTGGAAATCAAATGGGTTAAAGTTAAAGAAAACATCTCAGTATATCCGTCATAAGTCACGCAATTTTGATAAGAATTTCGAAAATCTGTTGTTTGACCTGGCCATCATAGTTAGGTATCTACTGCACAGATCTACAATTCTAACAGGAGAACAGAGTGTTCTTAGTACATTGTAAATATGGTTTTTTTTTCAGGGGGGAAAATTATCCAATGACTTCTCCCGCCTTGGATTAGGAGGGAGGGTCAGAGTCTTACTGACTAAAAACCTCCCCGTTCATATTCCTATACTTCGAGCCGGCAAAACGCACGGGTCTGGTTCTGGTCGGATAAGTGATATATTATTGTGACAATATAAAGGAGTTATCATCAAAATAGGTCATTGTAATCCAATAAATCGGATGTACACATAAATATCCTTCTTTACGGAGAATGAAGAAAAAATATACCGTCAATGTTTAAGATAATAATAACAATATTATTATCCTTTTACTGTTTCACTTTTATTTTGATTTAGGCTGCCTGTCCATTGACGCGGAGAGTGGCAGCGGAGCGGAGAAACGAAGAAATATTAACCAATAGGATTGCATGAAATCTCCGCTCCGCTTTAGTGGAAAGGGATTTGCGAGCTAGGTTAAACATTCATACATTTCCCGAAGCGGCGCGTGGTAGCGGTGTGAGACGGCGAAGCGAGGGAGCGGGGCGCGGGTATGGAATATTGGGATAGTATAGTATACTAGTCCATTACTCCGCTCAGCAAAACTCGTTGGCTCCACACCGCTTCCTCGCTCTGCCTCAATGGACAGACATAGTCCGTAACTCCGCTCCGCAATACTCGCTAGCTCCGCTCCACTGCCCCTCTCCGCGTCAAAGGACAGGCAGCCTTATACAGAGGACAAATGAACATTGATCACCTTGCTAGCTCTGGGAAGGAGTTCCACCCCTCAGGCTATATGGTTACTAAGCAAATACGGCGTAATAATACATCGTATTGATATTTCGTGATCAAATTATATTCCGTATATTCAAGACCAGTTATAAGGAATATATTATGTTGTATTGTCCATATTTAAGTTGGTAGTTCTTGTAAATGGGAATGTTGTATTTGTGTGTACTAAGTTATTGTTGGAATGAAAAAGTAGCTATAGTTATAAAGTTATTTGTAATTTGTAAATAAGTGGGAAAATAATTTGTTATTACTTTGTGTTTTTGTTTCGTTTTTTGTTTGTTTAAAATTGCTGAATAATAATATTATTGAAATATAGTAAACTAGCTTTTCCCGCGGCTTCGCACTCATCACAAAAAGATAAAAGCCTATGTGAAATATGGTAATACACACAACAATTTTTTTTTTTTTTAAAAAAACGTTGCCCCACACTAGGATTTTCTCCTGTGTCGTGGGTGCGTTTACAAACATACAAGTTCACATACACAATGACACCCAGACCCGAAACAACAATTTGTGGATCACACAAAGAGTTATCACACAAAGAGAGATCTATACCAATAATTTCGTTTTCCCTCGAGAATACCAAATTTATCCGGGATAAAAAAGTACCCTATTATGTAATCCAGACTTCTAACTTTACGGCGTTAAAGCGGAACAAACAAACAAACTCACTTTCCGATTTATAATATTAGTAACGATGAACAGTTGCCACAATAGTAAGTACAAATTAATTATACTTTAATTTTTTATTTTATTGTTATTTCATAATCGTACCGTAGTCAGTATTAGTAGTAAACAGAAGTGGGCAAGAACAAGTCACATTTATCACGTCAAAAAACAAATAACGCGTAACTCACTTTACGTATACACACCAAGTCGCCAGGATGCTGCTGTTAAAGCCCCTTCAGGCAAAATGTCGTGGTTTTGGTAATTATGATCCAACTCTTTACAAACGAACTCGAGGGTCTCATCATTCACAGCTAGATTCACATACAAGCAGTACTTACATGTGGAGATGTGATGGACTTCCTGCTATCAGTGTTGCTGGCCTGCCTGGAGAAGGAGGGCGCGTGGACACTCATTGGAGACCCTGGCTCTGAATCTGTCTTGCCTTCGTTGCTGCTGTTCCCTGCTTCCTGGTGAGAGAGAGGTTTTTGCTTCAGTTGCTTATACAATTAAGTTTGTGTTTGACGACTTTTGGGGGGGCGGGGGGAATCATCCAATGACTTCTCCCGCCTTGGGTTAGGCGAGAGGGAGTATCAGACTCTTTCTGACTAAAAACCACCCCGTTCCTTTTCCTGCTCCTCGAGCCGGAGCCCTGGCAACCCGTTAGGCCTTCCGCGGCTCAGTATCGGGCATCAGTCCTGCTGGGCTCCACCTGGGGTGGGTGTTAGACGTCTAGAGAATAAATATGAAGGTATAATAGACAGAGTTATTTGGTATGGCATTGTGCTCTTATTTTGTTAGCTGTGTGGAAACAGTATCGTTTGTCGATAAGAGCCCCTGGCCTGGCTTGAAAGTAATCGAGTAGACATGTTAAACAGTCATGTCACCTCACTTAAGTAATATAATACTTACTTGAGCACTGATTAATCCCCACCGGTGACCAACTCCATTATAGACCTTATTTTCGATGTCTAGAGACTACTTTTGTATGAACAAATTGTAAGGATTTATATCAGTAGGTAACCCGTATTCACATAACTTGATTAAGATAACAATGAAATAACATTTTGTAAACAAAATTATAGGAAATACAAAGCAAGTACTTATGTAACAAACACGCACAGCTACTTAATTGCACCTCTAAGTAATACCTAGGTAGGTGTAATACAATATACCTATGTCCTATATAGTCTATGTATTCTATGTCCTAGTTTCCAAGCTGTGTGGCTTACGAGCAGGCAATTAGGACTTTGCACAACTTTGCAACAACAAATGTCTTAGTACTTATAATAATGTAGACCTAAGACCAACAAATGTAATTATCTTTTTAACTGTATTCTTTTATGAATTGCTATATTTTTAATGAGACAAGCCCGCCACAACTTCCCGAAACCGCTGAAACTCCTGTAAGCCAGGATGTACAGTAGATACAACCATGAAAACACTGGGACACTGAAGTCCGGCGCGTCCCAGGGACATTAATAACTGTCTTGGTGCCGCAATGAAATATATCAGAAGATATTTTTTTAATGGGATAAGCCCGCCACAACTTCCCAAAACTGATGCAACTCCTGTAAGCTGGCTTAATCGATAGTAGATACAATCATGAAAACTCCGCAACACTGAAGTCCGGCGCATCCCAAGGACATGAATAACTGTCTTGGTTCCCGCAATGAAATATATCAGTCAATATTATATAAATTGCCGCCCGGATTGGAAATCAAGCAAGCCTAACTAAAAGTCACTTAGCGCGGCGCAACACCTAAACTAGCCCCTTACTTGTACTGTTAGGAATCGCTTCTAAATCGGTGCAAACCAAAATGTCATTTATGTCACCTATCTTAGCTTAGGGGTTCCGTAAAATTTAGAAAAGGTTGGTCAAAAGAAAGAAAGAAAAAACATTTATTCAGCATAAACTGGTGTAAGTCGTTATGCATAACATAATATAATGCCTTTTAACCCCGAAGGGGTAGGCAGAGGTGCTCTTTACGGCACTTAATGCAGTATAACACCCACTTTTCCCTATGTAATAGGGGTGAGCCTATTGCCATATACCGGGCACAATTCCAGACTCCGTGCTACTACTGAGAAATTTAAAAACATGTTTATGCATAGTTATCTAACTATGCATAGTTATAAACACGTAACGGGTTAAAATATTGGTCCGTAAGTTTGTAACACATATTACGTTAGACCCTTATCCGGTGGTGACGGATATATTACATTCTGATCCGGATGTGTGTCTATGTGATCCGTATGGACCGGGGCTCTGCTTCTATTTATAGGTACGTCAACGATAGTTTCACATTAAAATGAATACGATAAAGGATGTTTTATTGTCAATAAATAATGTTGATATAAGGTGATGCAATGATATATTAAAAGTAATTTTTTTTTGTCTTTTTTTCGTCCTGCGGCAAAACAATTTCCCATAAGGAGTACTTTCGATGTATAAAGTAAAAACATCACTACATAGTATAAAACAAAGTCGCTATAGTCTCTATCCGCCATCTGTCTGTCCCTATGTATGCTTAGATCTTTAAAACTAGGCAACGGATTTTGATGCGGTTTTTTTTAATAGATAGAGTGATTCTTAAAGAAGGTTTATATGTATAATATATGTGTATTGCACCCGTGCGATGCCGGGGCTGGTCGCTAGTAAAAAATAAAGATGTAATTTTTTTAGTTTATAAAATATATTCTTTGAGTTTCGCATAATGAGATACTAGATGTAAATTTTTAGGCACTATTTATTCGCATCGCACGTGCCATCCGCCGAGAAATACCTCTTTGGGAATTACATGGCGTGATGTTTTGATTATGTACTATGAGTTCGTATACACTTGACTGCACGGTTGGCGCGGTGGTTGGGCAACTGACTGCCGCGCAACGTGTCGCGGGTTCGATTCCCGCACGGAACAACTCTTTGTGTGATCCACAGATTGTTGTTCCGGGTCTGGGTTTCATGTGTATGTGAACTTGTATTTTTCTAAACGCACCCACGACACAGGAAGAAAATCCTAGCGTGGGGAAACGTTTTTTTAAAAATACAATAAAAAGACTTAATCGAAGTTTACTTTTCGCAATGGTTAATCACTTATTTTTTGTTTTAAACGTTTTCAAGTCTTTGTAAAACTATTGTATTACCGAGACAGAACCATTTTACTTCGGGACGAAAACGAAATAAACACGGTGTATAGAAATATAGATATATTTCTGAGCTTTTTGATTTCCAGGTCGAGTAAACATTACTGGGGCTTTTTTGATGTTTTCGAATATTTTTTTGTGTATGACGATACTGTATCATCTATTATCATATAATGCTTATAACATAAATTGTAAACCTTTATGTCCGTGCCTGCGGACAGCAGCAATAAGTTACCAGGGCTCGGACTCGATCAACATTGACATTGTGGGTTTATATTCCGTACTCTGAATGCTACTTTAACAGTTACGATAGGGGTTGTATCGTTTTGACATTGGATAATTATTGAGATTTTAATGCATTGAAATGGCATTGACATTGAGATTGGTTTCAAGAGTACCCAGGAGTTGGAACGAAGTTGTTTTTAGTCAGTAAAAGTCTGACACTCCGTCTCACCTCACCCAGGGTGGTCGAAGACAATTGATGATTTTCCTCCATCAAAAAAATGTGCCTAACTGTGTCTATATCTATAGGCACATGCTCCTTTGTCCGCTCAATATTCACAAAAACAGCTGAAAACTTTTTGCTCCCCGATTAATATAATGTGTAGAGAATTATATGAGAATGTACCGTCCCTAGCCACAAAGCTTTCAAGGGTCTGAACATTCTATTTATAGAGACAGGCAATTTATTATAATTATGTATGTAAATTAGGTTCTCTTGTGAAGTCTTGTGCTGCAACCATCCTTTGCGACTGGACTTTTAAGACTTCTAATTAGCATACTATTATGTCTTTGATCTTTCGCGTAGTATGGTGTGTGTGGTGTCCAGTATGTTATCTATACATACATACATACGTGTACATGTGTGTATAAATCAAATTAGAGTGTATGTTTGTAATTAACCGCTTTTTACTACATGCATATCAATCCTTACTAATATTATAAATCGGAAAGTGAGTTTGTTTGTTTGTTCCGCTTTCACGCCGTAACGACTAAACCGATTGCTTTAAATTTTTGCAGACGTAAAGTTAGAAGTCCGGATTAAATAATAGGGTACTTTTTATCCCGGAAACATTTGATATTCCTGAGGGGAAAAAAGTATTGGTATACCTCTAGATGGCGTTGTGTGTATTGGTAATTGGTATTTGTCACATAGGCTACTTTTTATCCTTTTGTGACGCGAGCGAAGCCGCGGGTAAAAGCTAGTTAGTTATAAAGTAAAAGTATCTCTACCTTACTATATCCCATAGATAATATGAAAATAGAACAGTTCCAATCCATTACTCGATTAGTTTGAATTAAATCCCCTCGTGGCTTGCACTCAATGTAACTTCAGCAATGAATGAATGAATATTGGTTTCAGAGCTTTGCACAAACGGCCAATGATTGCATTACGTGATTACGTCATTCATAATACCTCTGGAGGGTATTTTGTAGTGCTGAGAGGGTTGTAATGGATTTTAACACTCGTGGTATAAAATACAGTTTTTAGTTAATTGGTTTTTCATTGCGACTGCCTCGTTGGTCGAGTGGTCGTAAGTGCGAATGCCTCGGGAGGAGGCCAAGAGGTCTCGGGTTCGATTCCCAGGACGGGCAAAGTATTACAGGGGTTTTTTAAAAAAAATCTCAGTAGTAGCACGGAGTCTGGAATTTGGCCGGTATATGGCAATAGGCTCACCCCGTATTACATGGGACCCATAACATAAATAGTGAAAAGTGGGTGTTATATTGTACAGTGGCATTAAGTGCCGTAACGTGCACCTCTGCCTACCCCCTTTTTTTAAGGGGGGAAAATCATCGAATGACTGCTCCCGCCTGGGTGAGGCGGGAGAGAGTGTCAGACTCTTACTGACTAAAGACCACCCCGATCCTTCTCCTGCACGTCGAGCCGGAGCCTCGGTTACCCGTTAGGTTCTCCGCGACTCCGAATCGGCATCGGCCCTAATGGGCCCCATCTGTGGTGGTCTGATGGCTCTTTGAGGCGCGCTTTTTAATTAAAACAGAAGTTTATATAAACTGCTGGACAAAGGCCTCCCCCTTAGGCCTCCAGGTCCTTAGGCCTTTATCCAGTAGTGGACGTCTTCCAGCTGTTGATGATGATGATGATGATGATTATATAAAACGGCATACCTGTAAAGATCTGGCGAGCTCTGAGTCTAGATACCGTCCAGTAGTCCGTCTATCAGGCAGTATGTACTTGGGGACCGACTTGAAGAACCAGGCGCCTGACTTCTTCCACATCTCCCTGGTCTCCGCGCACAGGTTGCACATGTACGCTTCTCTGGAGTATATTGGAGATCTGAGGAAAAAGATTCATGTAAGGTTGGGGATTTTAATTGAATTATTAATAGCACTGCCTCGTTGGCCGAGTGGTCGTAACTGCGACTGCTGGGCAAGGGGTTTTGGGTTCGATTCCCGGGTCGGGCAAAGTACTACTGGGTTTTTTAAAAATTCTTAGTAGTAGCACGGAGTCTGGAATTGGGCCCGGTATATGGCAATAGGCTCACCCCCTATTACATGGGACGCATAAGATAAATAGTGAAAAGTGGGTGTTACATTGTGCAGTCGCATTATGTGCACCTCTGCCCACCCGTTCGGGGATAAAAGGCGTGATGTTATGTTATGTAAACTCACATTGGTACTTGCCGTTGGTTGCCACCACGACCTAAACTTATACTATTATACTAAGATAACTGTTACATACGTGCATTAAAGGGCGGTTTTATTGAAGTCTTCTTTAATGAATAAGAACCATACTTCTGCACAGCTTACCCCCATAGCAAGAATATAATACAAACTAGCTTTTACCCGCGGCTTCGGTCGCGTCACAAAAAGATAAAAAGTAGCCTATGTGACATATACCAATACATACAGCGCCATCTGTACCAATACTTTTGTTTTTCCTCGGTAACATAAAATTTTTTCGGGATAAAAAGTACCCAATTATTTAATCCAGACTACGTCTGCAAAATTTCAAAGCAATCGGTCTAGTAGTTACGGCGTGAAGTCGGAACAAACAAACAAACTCACTTTCCGATTTATAATATTATAGTAAGGATATTAGTAAGGATAATGCCTCGCTTCTCATCATTTCTTAACTTTCAGAAACTCTCACAATATGACCAAGTAGTTTCAACTTCGATTCTTCGATGCAAAGTTACTTTCAACTTTAGTTCAACAACTTAAAGATGAGAATTCATTGCGGTCACCCAACTTTGAAGTTACAGTTAAGTCATCTGTATAACGTTTCTACTCGCTTCGTTTTCTTTTAAAGGGATTATGATAGCGGTTTGAAGACCAAGTTTTTTGTTTTGTGGCGAACTTGGAGACAGAGAATTTTATACCTTATATCTTGTGCCCTGAAGTATACATTTAAACTTTCTTTAACTTAATTAATGGCATAGTGGTTTTGTTGCAAGGGAATTTGAACTTTGTGCTGTGTGCTTTGAGATGGAAAGTTGCATAACTGTGGTGCGATGGATATTTTCTTTTATTTGAGTACAAAGTCAGCATCTTATGTTTAAGATGGTATAACAATGCACTTCAATTTACAAAGTAAAAATTGAAAACTGTCAAGTGTGAGTTATAATTGAAATTGTTGAATATTTTTTAATAGGGTAGATGCCTAATTTGTATTTTAATGTCCATCTGGTAGATTATTTTAAAACATTAGACACGTATTTTTTATTTTCTTACAGAAACGAATATTTTCGACGATATATTGATTTGAAATGTCGCGTGACGTCACTTCTATGTACATTTTATACGTAGAAATGACGTTTTAAAACTCAAGCGTGGGGATATGTTTAGAAAAGAAAATAAAGAGAACGTAACATAAACCATACATAACATAACACCAACTCCCTAAGGGCTAGGCAGAGTTTACATTACGGCCCTTAATGCCACTGTACAATGTAACACCCACTTTTCCCTGTTTAGGTTATGAGGCCCATGCAAAGCGGTAACCCTATTGCTATATACCGAGCACAATTCCAGGCTCCGTGCTACTACTAAATTTTTTTTAAACCCAATAATACTTTGCCCGATCCGGGAATCGAACCCGACACCCCTTGCCCGGCAGTCGCACTTGCGACCACTCTTTATGTAGATTTTATACAAAAATACATGTTACATTTCCTAAGATCACATCACAATTCAGTTTGTATTCAACTTAAAAGCAATCACAGTTTTATGAACAGACATTTGATACTTCAAGGGAAATGTTTGCGATCACTTTTTTAATATCGCCGCCATATTGAATCTGATTCGCATTCGAACAGCTTTATTGAAAGCCTTTTATGGATTCCGTTTTATTTTAAAAAAATAAAATTGTAAAGAGGTTCGAGTCTTTTGTGTTAGTAACAATTTCTTGTTGAAGTACTGAGTAGAGATCTTTGTGCTAAATTAGGAATTAGGTCGTTTCGGAATGTTTTAATTATTATTGTTTTTTAGTGAAGGCATATTTGTAGTATTTATACGGATTGATGACGCGATTTTCACCCGCCGCCCGTTGTGGAGGCGGAATGAAGATTTATTTTCTAAATACACGAGATTGCAGTTTTCTGCGGTTACCGTTGAGGAGTTCCTTCGACTGGCTCTCGGCTCCATCATCAGATCGATTCCAGACTTTTATCAGATTATAGTGGTTTTCAATAGGTACTTAATGAGAAAATTAACAAATGCCTATAAGTTTTAAAAGTTCCCCTCGGTTTCCCTGGTTATCCATCATCTGATCCTGATTTCCTTATCATGGGACTATTCTGGGACTATCTTCTTTCTAACAAAAAAAGAATTTTCAAAATCGGTTCATAAATAACTGAGATATCGGCGAACAAACATAAAAAAGCATATTATACGGTCGAATTGAAAACCTTTTCCTTTTTTTGAAGTCGGTTAAAAATAAAATTGTAAAGAGGTTCGTGTCTTTTGCGTTAGTAACAATTTCTCGTTGAAGTACTGAGTAGAGATCTTTGTGCTAATTTAGGAATTAGGTCGTTTTGGAATGTTTTAATTAATATTGTGTTTTGGTGAAGACGTATTTGTATTTGTAGTATTTATACGCACTGATGACGCGATTTTCACCCGCCACCGCAGCGGGGGCTGAATAGAGATTTATTTTCAAAATACACGAGACCGCAGTTTTCTGCGGTTCCGCAGTTGCCACGGTTGCGATTATCGACCGCAAACTTGACGGTTGATTATCGCAAGACAGCGGCTACAGTACCGCAACCGCGCCCGTCGGTGTATCGGAAACCGCAAACAATCGCACCACCGCGGGGGTAGAACGCGCCGTGAAATATGCTTTAATTTTTATATCTACTGTATTCTACAAAGGCTGCAGACTCGTAACCACCCCCCGCGACCACTCGGCCAACGATGCAGTCAAACAGTTTTAAACAAAGACTATATTTCAGTACAACAAAACGCCAAGAAGCACCTTAATCCATATCAACGTCTGCAAGCAACTAAAAGAGAACGACTCTAAACCTAACCGTGTGCACTTACGGTTTAATTTGGAGTAACAAAGAGCGTTACGTGAAAGGATTATGATATTAAGGGATGAACGATGCATGTGTCTACATAATCTGTGCTGAGTGGCTTTATGTGCGCTGTTTAGTCTGTGGGCTCTTTGTGAACGAATCTTTGGGCTGGGAACAGAGTGGAAATGGGATTAATTATACTTTTTTTACTACATGATGAAAGATTTGATTGTGTCTTAACACAATGGCTTAATTTAAAGAAATGTCTTGACATTGAATTATTTAATAAAAACGAATAGATTCGATTGGATTTTTAACGAGTAATAATGTATGACACTTTGTATTCTGACATTTTTATGAGGTAGGGAGAACACGAGATTTTTTTAAATTCTTTAGTACCTATATAATCTGCGCTGAATGGTTTTGTATCCTTGTTTAGTCTGTGGTCCGTTTGTGAACGGGTTTCATCGAGCCATCTTTGTGTCGGCAGTATACATATAGAGAGGCGTGTGGTTAATTAGTTTTTGACCGACTTCTAAAAGGAGGGGATACCTTCCTCATTTCTTTGTTAGTTTTTGTATTCGAGGTGGTCTTAGCTAGTTACTAGGTGGGTTGTAGTTAGATAGTTGTTAGATTAGTTGTTCTGTTTTGAATAAGTGTGACTGCGGGTTTGATTCTCGGTTTGGATAAAGTGTTATTAAGGTTTTTTTGAAGCCTGTACTTGTTTGTGTCCAGTGTCAAACCATTGACACACTTGTATTACATAGGGTTCGTGACCTAACTGTTCAAATGCGGATGTGATCATTGTATATCATCTCTGCTTACTCCTTCGGGATTAGAAAGAGATGAAATTCTCTATCATTTAATTCCTCTTTCAGAATAGGGTAGGTGCCTAATTTTTATTTTAATGTCCGTCTGGTAGATTTTTTAAGAAAATTACACTATAGTCAGAATTTTAATTCGATTCCAGATTTGACATTGGCTACTGTCATTTTGTGAAATAATGATACCACATTTAATAGTGTAGTGATGAACACAAAACTCGATTAACAATCAGTGTGTGTGTTTTATAATAAATGTTACAGAAAGTGACAGCGATAGCGATAGCGATGACGGCGACAATTTATAAAATAAATTATCACCATAATACATATATCTGTTTTATTTGTCATGTTCCTTCATTGTTACATTTTTTTATTTATTTCACACACAATTATAGAAGAAAAGTCTCAGATCGTTAATTAATCGTCAAAACTAAATGACCGATCAGAAATATTTAATTTCCTGATAAACTTAGTTTACGAGAGTAAAATTATAAACGAGAAGAATCGATCCCGAAATATTCAATTTCCATATCGAATAATTTCGCAACGTCACTATTTAGTACTTGTCATAACGTTGCATCACTGGAATTGTCAAATCTGGAATCGAATTAAAATTCCGAGTAGAGTATTTTTAATTTTTCTTACAGAAACGAATACTTTCGACGATATAAATTGATTTGAAATGTCGCGTGACGTCACTTCTATGTAGAAATGACGTTTTAGCCTCCACTCCTAAACTTTGATTCGTTATATCTAAGTTTCATTTATCGTACATCAAAAAAAATCACGTGTCTAATATTTTTTAATTACCTAACTGACGGACTAATTAGATTTTTAATTTTCATACCCTGTCATCATCCCATTGAATGAATTTTTAAGTAATAGTTGAAATACCTAAAGCAGTAAACCTATAACGTTCCTTACCTATGCGGAAGATTTTCAATGACACACTTGGAGCAAGCTGTATGTCTGCAGATGGAGCAGGTCCTCAGTGGAGCTAGGAGGCGAGCAGTCTCCCCGCAGAGCAGGCAGGTGCGGGGGGCGGGGCCTTGGGCTGAGCGGCGCATACCTGGGAACAGAAAAAAGATTATTGTGAATGAAAATAGAAAATGACTATTGTGAGACATTCAATTAATTCGGATGTATTTTATTGCTGCCTCGTTGGCCGAATGGTCGCAAGTGCGACTGACGGGCAAGGGGTCTCGGGTTCGATTCCCGGGTCGGGCAAAGTATTACTGGGTTTTTAAAAATCTCAGCTCTCTCTCTAGTAGCAGAGAGTCTGGAAATGTGCCTGGTATATGGCAATAGGTTCACCCCCTAATACATGGGACTCATAACATAAATAGTGAAAAGTGGGTGTTACATTGTACGGTGGCATTAAGTGCCGAAATGTGCACCTCCGCCTACCCTTTCGGGGGTAAAAAGGCGTGATGTTATGTTATGTTAAAGCATTGGATATTAAACTATTGACAACTATGGACCAAGGAGACAAATGAGCTATTCTTGCACGTCATAGTTGGGAGAAGTCATTAGATAATTTACCCGTTCAAAATAAAAGTCGTAATTACAGTTCGAACCCAGAATCTGAACATCAGCAACCGCATTAAAAACTACGGAACCAAACAGCAGTCTTTATTTAAATGAGCAGAAGGCACTCAAAGGAATAATATCTCTCAATTAAAGCGACGTCTCGAGGCATTAAGGTTAAACGATTAATTAATCACAAATGCGTTTTATAATAGAGACGCCAGTTCATTAATCACTAGTGAATCAGCAGGAAAATGTAATAACATTAAAATTTACTGGGAATTATTTGTGCGATTCGTTTTATAGTATAAAGTCTTGTCAAATGTAATGAAACACGCTTTCTGTTTTGAGTAATGTAAATTTATTTTAATTTTTAATTGACTTAAGAAAATATAAGAAGGTTTTCAGTGTAAACTGTATGTATCTTTTAAGTGTGGGAGAGCCATGCTTAAGTGTGGGAGAGCCATGCTTAAGTGTGGGAGAGCCATACTTCGGCACGAATGGACCGGCTCGACCGGAGGGATACCACGGCCTCACAGAAAACAGACGTGAAGCAACGCTTGCGTTGTGTTTCGTCGTACGAGTGAGGTTACCGGAGGTTTTTACCAATGTCACCCATTTCCCCCCTCCCTAGTCCCCGTCTCCCGAATCCCCGAATCCTCCACAATCCTCAAATTCTCAATTCGGTAACGCACTCGTAACGCCTTGGTGTTACGAGTGTTCATGGGCGGCGCCGATTGCTTATCATCAGGTAATCCGTCTGCTCGTTTACCGGATTATACTATAAAAAAAAACTTGTATGTGTATGTTTGTCTGCGATTACCTCGCGATTGGTTGAACCAATTTTGATGCGGTTTACAGAAGTTTTTGTTAGGAGCGACTTTTATTTTAATTTTTTTATTTACACTACTGTATATAATATACGATGGTGGACTTAATGCCGGGTGGCATTCTCTAACAGTCAACCACGGGGTGATGCAGAAATGTGCAACAGTAGCTGTTATAGGTATTATGGTGTACTTTATGTGACACAGAATAAATCTTTATAAATAAATTCATAATTATGCATAACTATAATAATATAATATAATAACAATACAGACTTTTAGCAAATTTATCGATTTCATTAGTAACTGACAAAAATACTTTGCCCAACTGTAAGGTCTGTGGAGTTGTTGAGGACATGCACCACTTGTTGATGGAATGTGCTCGATATGAGACTGATAGGAATAAGTTGCTCAGGGACTTGAAGTTGTACAAGAACGATATAGTACATTACATAAAATATTAAATGAGCCGAGTACTGATAATGCGAAAATGTTATTCAACTTCATGGCTCTGATTCATTGATCTTTAGTTGATTTATATACTTATTAGGTTACGATGGGACTGACATATGCTGTGCGGTATAATCTATATATATAAAAGAAAGTCGTGTAGATTTTTCGCACCTAACTTTATGATTTGTCTATTTTTAACATTAAAGATGTTTTTAGTACTGTTTAATTTGGAATTAACCGATTGCTGGTTGAAGATTTACTCAATTGGCAACTATAAACTTCCCAGCCGTCATGCTTACTATTATTTAAAAACGTAATTCCAAACAATATCTTACACACAAATACACAAACTATACATATATATCTTACTTACACACAATGTACTTACACGAAGTTACAACACACAAAACGCGCAAACACATATCACACTTATATGCATATATTCACACACTTTACATCCCTCTAAAATAAAAATACAGCCCACCAAAATAACAAAAATTAAAATCTCAATATATGGCTACCTACTGTTTATATACATTGAAATATACCTTACCTAATCTCGACAGTTTTGCAATTAAAATTAACTATAAATGAATAATAATACACTTCGTACGGTCACAGAAATAGATAACATTGAAATTGCCCATACAGTTGAATGCGATTCTACAGAACTCCATAAATATATCTGTGTAAACAAAAGTGACCTCACTATAATATCCAAAACATACGGAGTATTTACTGTAACTTTGACAGCTTTTTGATCTCTTTATCTAACCTCAAATTTGAACCAGACATTATTATTCTAACAGAATGTAGATTGCATGCTAACAAATCAATTCCGCAAATGAATAACTATCACTCGTATTTAACAACTCGTCAATTAAACCAGAATGACGGCGTAGTTGTATATGTTAAGAACTTTTTAAGCTCAAAAGTCAAGGAAATTCACTGCCTCAAGCATCCTGTCTACGATTAGACATATTAGGTAACAGTTTTATGTATCTACCGATCTCCCTCTAACTCAAATACTGACAGCTTCATTGACTCCCTCAGCACACAGTTAAACACATTAACATCACAAAAAATCATTATAGCTGGTGACATAAATATTAACCTCAAACACAGAGATACTGAGTCATCCCAGGAGCAGAAGAGTAGAGTTAACTACCTAAATATGTTATCGTTATTCGGTATACTTCCCGGGCACACTTTGCCCACAAGGGAACAAAGCTGTCTTGATCATTACATGCTTAAGCTACATAGGGAGTTTCAGCATCTATCGCTATCCTGCACACTACTGTGACTGATCACTACACAACATTTATTTCTATAAAAAAGTTAAAAAATATCCCAATCATAAATAGAACTTCCACTACTCTAAATTACGATCAAGCTTTAAAAGATTTACAGGAAAAAATTTATCGGACTTATTATTTTGTGATGATCCTAATTTATTAATCAATAATTTTATTAAAATGGTTACCGAAGTAATACACGAAAACACAAATATAAAAAAATTCCAAGTAACCAACGTATCATAAAACCTTGGATTACCTTGGGTATCCTCCGTTGTATCAAAAACCGAAATAGATTGCAAAAAAAATATCAAAATGACTCTCATAACGAAATTTTAAAACTAACATATACTAGGTACAGGAACTTCTGTAATAATTTAATAAAGAAATTAAAAAGAAAATATGAAAGGAATTTACTTGTACAATCAGTATCTAACAACAAATTACTCTGGAAAAATGTAAAAACCATCACACACTCAAATAGATTAAAAAGTCAGAATGTAGAATTATTAAACATTAAAACAACCCCCATAGAGTCTATTAACTATGTTAATTCTTATTTTGCGAATATTGGAGAACAACTTGCTAAAAAAATTCATTCGGATTTAATAACACCCTTAACCCAACCATTGCACTAAGATCACAACTAAATTCCTTTGTACTACTGGATACGGACGATTCAGAGGTGCATAGTATTCTGATGAATCTGAAATCCGATAGTGCCCCTGGGTGGGACAATGTTTCGACAAAATTTTTAAAACATATAAGAAAGGAGGCTGTCCCCATTATCACCCACCTTGCTAATCTCTGCTTCCAAGAGGGTGTTTTCCCGGCTCCACTAAAGCAGTCCGTTATAACCCCAGTTTACAAGGCCGGCGACAGCGACGATGTCAGCAACTATAGGCCTATTTCCGTTTTAACCTCAATTTCCAAAGTGCTTGAAAAAGTTATAAATATTAGACTGACAAATTATTTAAACAAATTCAATCTTTTATCTAACTCGCAGTTTGGCTTTAGGCAAGGTGTATGTACTGAGGATGCAGTAACTGCGTTAAGTTCTCTTGTAGCTGAGCATCTTGATAAAGGAAACAGATGTCTTTCTGTTTTCTTAGACCTCAAAAAAGCATTCGACACCGTCTCTGTCCCAATCCTTGTGAACAAGTAGAGCAAGCCGGAATAAGGGGCAAAGCACTCAGCTTACTTAAAGACTATCTCTCCAATAGGAAACAAAGAGTAAAAATAGGACAGTACTCTAGTGACTGGGTAGATGTATCCTACGGCGTTCCACAGGGTAGCGTTCTTGGACCTACCCTCTTCCTCCTTTACATTAACGATCTTTGTAATATGGAAATAGAAAATGCTAAAGTATTTACCTACGCAGATGATACATCTATCGTGTTTTATGGTCCATCCTGGCACATAGTTAAACTGAGTGCAGAGGCGGGAATGGCTCAGGTGGCTGGATGGCTAAAAAGTAACTTGCTTTCCTAAATACTAATAAAACCAACTACATTTGCTTTAGTATCAGTAACCGTACGCAACCTATTGAGAGTTGGATTTGAAGGTACACATATGTGGAAACATGTCCTCTATGAGTTGTGATTGCCCATGCATTAAGAAAGTAGCTCAAACTAAATATCTTGGAGTTGTGTTAGATCAAGCACTGTCCTGGTACCCTCATCTCGAGCAAACTTCTGGGAGAATAAGGAAACTCAGTTGGGTTTTTTAAAACCCTTAGACATATTGTTCCAACTAAATTAGAGAGTTGTAAGAACCGTCCCAGAAATCTCCTAAATGAAATATATGTGGCACTAGCCCAATCCGTGCTATTATATTGTATTCCAATCTGGGGCGGTGCTGCTAAAACTAAATTTATACATTTAGAACGAGCTCAGCGTGCATTAATAAAACTGATGTATTTTAAAAATAAAGATTTCCTACTTCAAGTTTATACCAAATAAGTGATT